AGAAGGCATATTCCTGAAAGAACATGTCTGAAAGAAAATTTGATATATGATCTAGAACTCAGGAGAGACATCTAGGCTGAAATGTAGTTTCAGCAATTAGTTTATCCTTGAACAATGCGGGGGTTGGGGGCCCCAACTATCCCCTTTCCACAAAGTGGAACATCCAGGTACATGTTAAGTCGGCCCTCGCATACAGGGATTCACAACCAGGGATCAAAAATACTTTTGATCTGTGCTTAGCTGAATCCGTGGATGCCAAAACTGGGGATTTCAGGGTTGATTGTATATTTATTGAAAAAGATTGCACACAATTCAAACCTTCTGTTGGCCAAGGTCAATTATATTATCAGATGGAGCAGGAGTTAGTGTTTGTAAGAATCAGGCCTTAGTGTATGAAGGAATCACCCAAGTGCTTGTTAAATGCCAACTCCTTAGTCTAATCCTCAGAGTTTCTGGTTAAATGGGTGTGGGAGGAGGCCCAGCAATCAATATTTAAGTAAGCTTTAAATAAGCTTTCCAGTGACTGTACTGCAGATGGTCTATTATAGCAAGAGCAAGAGAGCTACAGAGAAGTGATGTCAGGATGCTAGAACGTGGCAAGTTTCAAGGAGTTGAAGTGGTGATGTGGATACGGCCAGGGGGTCGAGAAAGCTTAAAACCGAAAGCATGCATTGGACTTGGCAGCCTACAGAGGGGCCCTGGTGACTTGGAAGAGCAAGTGCAGTGAAGGGGAGGCACTGACTGCAGCAGGTAGGAGAGGGGTTGGGCTAGGGAGGAGGCTCCGATGCATGAGTGAGGGAAGGAAATAGGTTGTGACAGAACTTGAAATCTAATAGTCAAAGGACCTGGTTCAAGCTCTAAGTGTGGCACTCACAGGTTATATTATACATCTTCACACAATCCTTTTTTTTTGTTTTTAATATGCTAATAATGTCTGTGGCAGAACCTTTTGTACAAGGATGATACTGCATGTGAAAAAATGTTGTCAATTGCTCTTTCACATCTTGCTAATAATATTAACAAAATAAAAGGCATAAAATCCTAAAGAGTTCTATGCAGCAGGTATCTTATTTGTATTTGTCCACTGTGACAAAACATTGGCAATTTCAGTCATTGGAGTACTTGTCCCATAAAAGCAGAGGGCTTTAAAGGGAAAAGAATCATTTGTAATGTCTTAAATAGACCAGTGCTCTTACTTCACAAATGAGGATCCAGGGGGTTAAATGGGGAATGGAGGTTAAAGGATTTGTTCAGAGTCATACAGCTAATTAATGGCAAAGCCAGATACAAAATTTGGTCAGTCACCTGACAGAATACACCCTCCTGCTACCCAGCTGCTGCCTACGCCTGCATGATAGCATACTTCTTCTCTATCATATGAATTTTGGTCCTTCATAGTAAAGAGAGATGTACATGACTTGAAACTTTGCTGACTGGAGTAAAGGAAGAGTTGTTTAATTTGAACAAGTCTGGAGGTGCAAAATGGTACTTCCTTAAGACATTTTTTAACTATTTCCTTCCCTCTTATTCTCAAGCCTCTTGCGAGGTGCCAATGTAGAACCCCAGCTGTAGTAGCAGGATCAGCCAGTGGCAGGTTAGTGCGGATACATATTTTCTTTCAGTGATCCCCCTTCGTAATTGAAGAGCTGTCCAAAGATCAATATAAAGACTGTTGTTTGAGACAGGCCTTGACTAAATCACAGGACAGGCTTGAAAAACAGCTGTTATGGAAGGTTTATTTCTATGACAAAGAGATGCTACTTCCCACACTATACTTAAATATTGACTTCTCCATTTCCCTTTCTAAGCTACCTGAAGCTGGCCAGAAAAATGTATGGCATGTAGTAGGGATCTTGAAGATGGTTGTTGAATGAATGAGTGAAATAATTTTATTTATAGTTCTCTGATCAGTTTATTCTTTAACAGAAAAATAATTCCTAATAAATTGACTCCCACCTATTATTTTTCTTCCCCATCTCCCTCTCTTCTGCCAAGACTTCCACTAAGCTAATTGGATCATGTACTTTGGCATTCCTTACAACTTTTCATGATATGTAATATTCCACAGTTGACTAGTTAAAGGAATTGTCTACTATATTCTTTATTTTGTGAACTAATAATGTAACAAAATAAAGTAATGCAAATATATTTGGGCAGATAACCTAATCAAAGTCACACCACTTTGTTGGTAGATTTTAAATAAACATTAATGTATATGAATAAGAGATGTTTCTTAATAGAAAGGGAAATTTTCTCTCATGAGTGAGTCTCTTTTCCATTTTTCATTCCCTTTAAAAGAGGGGGAACTGATTTGCTGTTTTCTTAGATGTCACCCAGGTCTGTTTCCTTTTTCATATTTTAAAAAAACTTTCCTTCGAGTTTTTCTTGTCATGGTGTGCATTTTTCTGTAATATTTTAACTGGAAGCTCTTTAGAACAAAGGTTGCCCTCTATTTATACAGAGTAATGTTTATTTTTAGTGCTCAGTACTTTTTAAATCTCTTCTTCATTTTGGAGAAGCTGCAATAACCATAGGATAATATACCTCAAAGAGGCAGATCATGATATAAGAAACTGAGGAGTTTCACAGGATGGAAATATAAAAAGAATGCAAGAAAATCAGAGGTTAGATATGAGTTTAGGTCTGGATCAGTTATTGAAGAGCTATGGGGGGGGAAGGAAAGGGATATGTTATTCGGGAATAACTGTTGGGAGGTCGAGAGATGAGAAGAAATCAAGTTCAATAAACATTCAAGTACGGACTGAAGGTTGGGGAGGATTGCAGGATGGGGAGGGCATGATCCCTAGCCTCCGGAAGTGGAGACGCACATGCACACAAAACTGGAAGGCACAGCAGACTAGGACAAGGTGATAAGGTTACAGAGAAAGGGCATTCTAGAAAAATTTTAAGAAAAATACAATTTTACTAATTAAGGGTGAAAATTATCCAGAATGCCTGACATGCTAATATATGATGCTACTTTGATTAGCTCCTGGAGGCCACGAGGACTATTACTTCCCCAAACCAGAGGCATGCCTCATTTTGTATGTGATTCCCTAAGTTTTTTATTTACTGTTTTTCCTAAATGTTGGGACATATTATAGAATTGTACTGAAGATTTTAGGTTACCATGTAAGCAATGGTAACCTTAAGAAACTGCAAAGCAGTACCTTTTTTAAGGTACATGTTTTTATTAAATGAATCTCTATCACTTTTTGAAATATTTCTTACACTTTCTGAAATATTTTTTTGCTAAAAGGAATCCCCATAAAACATATAGCCAACTTAGAGACTTCTCAGCAATACAGTCAAAAAAGTCAAACATTATAGCTGGACTAAGTTATAGTTCAGCTATAATATAAAGTTATAATATTGAAAAGATTTGCTTTAGATTTTAAAAATTTGTAATGATAGCACAATATAAAGTCAATAGCTCTTGATTTTCTTTCTATGCTATATCTGATGACCACTGATGGTAATGTGAAACATTTCCTGCTAGCTATTCATTTATTAAAAAAAAAAGTCATCCCCCCCCAAGACTGGGCAGGAGATAAGATGCCAAGAAGTAACAAGTAGTGAAATTAAAAGAGGGGAATGCAAAGGAACCAAAAAGATAAAACATTAAAGTGATGTATTTCTTTCTCCCTGAGTATGCAGATAGACAGGAAAATTATAGCAGTAATCGCAGACTCCTTTTCACCAAAGACAGAATGGCCTTGGGGAATAAGAATAGGAGAAAAAAGGTCCATAAAACTGCATTCTCATTCAGACCCCACCTGATTTGCTGGATATGGCTTTGGCCAAGGACATTTACCCTTTCTGTGCCTTAGTTTCCTTAAAAATTGAAAAAGATTATTTGCCTCTTTGTGCTACTGGGAAGATCAACGAAATAATGCCTCAGCAGCACCTCCAAACTGGTGAGAAATAGGTTCTATAAGAATACCAAGTACAGCAGTACTATTATTATTGAACTGTGGATCCTGTTGGAGTGAGTCATCTTGCTGCAAAGATGCCTAAGCAATTCCAAGTGTGGCTAAGGACCAGACACAATGGGAAGAGGGAAGTACTCTTCAAGTGGTGTTAAGGAAGACCTCATTTGCAGTGAAATCTGCCCTTCTCTTGTTCTTTGAACAAAAAGGTGGGGCCAGGAAGAGGGAGGGTGAACAAGATTTTTAAAGTAAGTATAGCAATGTGGTTATACAAATAGACTTTTGAAATACTAGAGCCGGTTTGAATTCAGGCTTTGCCACTTACTACTATGACCTTGGGGAAGTTGCTGTTTCTATAAACCACATTTTTCCTATTCGTTCAATGGGGATTATAATAGCATCTTTAGAGTTGTTGTGGAGATTTAAAATGTACACCCTTTCAAGGACTCTGCAAACTTAGCTATTACTGTAATTTATGGGAGATAAGGGACAGTAGAAATCCAGATTGACACCTTTTCAAAAAATGTAAGAGAAAAAGGCAAGTTTTTATAAAACATTATATGGTTTAAGGAAGGAGGAAAATTTGTTTTGTCAAGTCTGAATTCATTTACATTTCACCAGTCAGGTAACTAGTCAAACCTTTGCTATCTGGCGCACAAAATACAAACAGGAGAAACCTTCCGGGTGCTTAATAAAAACAGCTTTCTATTTGAAAGACAGAAATATATATTTAAAAATTCTCTTTGGATAGCCAGTATATCTTATGAAACAAAGCTCATATGCTGTGCTTTTGTTTTAAAACAGGGAGCAATCAGGGGTGTGGAGACTACGCTCTCTGGCGTCGCTCTCAGCGCTGGGAAGCCTTGGGGCAAAGCCCTGGGGGCAGAGCGCGTTTTTGGTTTTTTTTTTTTATATATTGATCCCGGAACCTTCGCTCCGTCGTTGGGGGGGGCGGTTCGGGGCGGGAGCGTGGGGGGGGGCGCGAGGGAGGGGTCTGGTCTCGGGGCGCGGCGCCGCTCGCCTATCCCCGACCCCCCTCCCCCGAGCGCACGGCGGGGCGGCTGGCGGGCGGTCAAGGAGGATGCGGCGGGGCGGCGACGCGGGCCGGACCCAGCTGGGGCGGCAGGGCGGGCGCCGCCCGAGGGGGTAGGGCGCGCGGGGGCGCGCCGGGCTGGAGAGGCGCGCTCCGGCCGCGCTCGCTCCGCGTTCCCTTTGCTCGCTCGTTCCCTCCTCCCGCGGCGGCAGCAGGAGAAGGCGGTGGCGGCGGCGGAGGTGGCTGGGGATCAGACATGGCGGCGGATCTGAACCTGGAGTGTATCTGTTCGCTGCCCCGGTCCTGGACTTACGGGATCACCAGGGGTGGCCGAGTCTTTTTCATCAAGTAAAGAGCTGGGGACGGCGCGGGGGTCCGTAGGGTGCGGGAGGTTGCCGAGAAGAGGGGAGAGATCCCGGTCTGTGCCGCTCCAGCCCCCCTCGGCTCCTCTCGCGCTCCCACTCACGCTTGGTCTCTGCCCTTTCTCTCACCCCTGCAGCGAGGAGGCAAAGAGCACTACCTGGCTGCATCCTGTCACTGGCGAGGCCGTGGTCACCGGACACCGTCGGCAGAGTACAGGTAACGCTGAGCCGGCCGGGCCCCATCGGAGTTGGGCTCTGCCTGGAGGAGGCGGCAGATCACGGGCCACCCGCCTCCCGGCAACCTGCCCCGAGCTGCAGTCCTCGGGAGGCGGCGAGGCTAGGCGGGGGTCGGCGGGGGACCCGCCACCGGAGTTCTTTCTAGTCTCTGGACGTGCCTTTTTTCCGCAGCCTTTCATCACCCTTTGGAGACGGCGCCCTCTTCCTGCGCCCTCTCCCCATCCCAACCTGGACAATCCTCATGCCCCTATGGTGGCCGACTCCCTTCTTCCTGGAATCCCGAGTTTTACCTCTCGCAGCCACTCCTCAATTTTACTACTCTCCCCCGCCCCTTCCAAATGCCCCCACCCCCTTTCAGTGTTTCGGGAGACCTTTTCCACTCCCCTGCTTGCTGCCTGGGACCCTGCCACTGGTTTGCCGAGAAAAAGTGTTCACATCCTCTCCCTCCTCCCGGGAGAGTGCCTCCTGCCGAGCAGCTTCCTCCTCTCCTCCTCCTCCTCCTCCTCCTCCTCCTCCTCCACCTAGGTGGCATTTGTGGGAAGGTGAGGCAGATAGGAGTTTGGGGGTGCTGTGATCCTCTCTAACCGAGTTCAGCCCAGGAAATCAGCTGGGCCCTTTCCCTCCTGCCGGTGGAGGCATTTGCAGCCGCACTTGCTGGCCAGCCAAATTCAAAGTCCCCGGCAGCCGCACAGAGGTTTGCACAGACTGCCAGGAGGCGGTGGGCGTGCAAGGGGGTGTCCCATGTGTGGGCATTTGTGCCCTAATTGGAGGAGATCGGCGGGGAAGTAGATCTCTCCTGTTCCTTGGGTAGCCTGGTTGCTAAACATGTGAGTTAAGCTGGAGAAAGGCTGGTTGTAGCTTCAGAGCGGGTCTGGCTTTCCTTTGTCGTTCTTTGTTTACATTCATGAAACTTGTTTGTCTTTGAAATGTAACATGTGTTCTCTGACTGGCCTGCCTCTATTTCTGGTGATTGGAGAGGCTTAAGAACTGTTTGGGTCGAGGTGAGGCCGCCTCCAGCACTTCTTCACAGCTGCCTTCCAGGATACTACTTTCTCTCCAACTCGAGGATTCTGACTCTCTTAAAGTTGGCAGGATATTAAACCTGCTTTTTCTTTCAAATTCCGGAGTTCACTAAAGTGACTAATGTCTCTAAATTTGCAAAAAGGTGGAGGAGGAAAGGGAAGGTTGGTGAAGCAAACATGAGATTACATTTTTAAGGCATTTCTGACTAATAATACCGTCATATTTCCTAACTCCTCTGAGCAGTATTTGACTTAAATATACCTTCCAATGTTTTGCATGCTTATTTCAACTTTGCTGGCCTCTTTGCCTAATGGATAGTAACAGACTTATTTTAGAAGACAATCTGGTATTTAAATTATTTAACCTAATTACCTTGCAGAATTGTTTCTTATTTTGGTTATGTGTAATATACATTTGTATCCCATTTTACTCCCATAGATTTGATAACATTGACACCACAGAAAAATTATATTCTCCACTATTTCACGTTAATATTTTAAAAACATGCTTATGATTTTTTTCTGGTTTGGTTTATTTGCTTTGACTCTGGTTTTGTACACACATCAATGGCTTTTTATTTCAGAGAGGTACTGTGATTAAATCCAAGCCACTAGTCATTTGTAAGTAATATGTAATAAAGTTACCATGGTTCAGCTGCATTATTCCCAGGTTTATTACTTGAAACTTCACATCTCTTAAAGTCAGTAGAAACATACACGTATAAGTATGTGATGTCAGATTTCTTTTCCCTTAATTTAGTACTTTGGAAGTTTTTTCTTATCACTGAAACTTCCTGGATGAATTCATTTGTGTAGCTGAAAGGTATGGTCTTAAATAGACACGTTATACCTGAGAAAGAGCAGGTGTTGATTTTAATGCACAGGTGTTTTGTTTTTGGCTTTTTTTTTTTTTTTGCCAACTATTCATAGGTATTTTACCCAGGATTACACAACCTCTGTTTGGTCTCTCTCTCATCATTAAAGTGTATACATCCTATCAGATAATCCCCGATATTGTGATACTTTTATGGTGGTTTTCGATTTGAATTGCTGTTTTCCCCAAAATATTTTATCTACTGTGAGCTTTATTACCAGTTCAACACTTTTTTTTTGTTTGAAACCGACTTAATAAATGAAAATAGCTGATCATGAAAAGGATTGCAACTTACTTTGCTATCCTATTGAAATAATACTAATTGTGAAATGTATGTTTTTTAGATTTGCCTACTGGCTGGGAAGAAGCATATACTTTTGAAGGTGCAAGATACTATATAAAGTGAGTTTTCTTACTATGTTTTTTCCTTGCCTATTCAAACGTTGCAATTAAAGTTCAGTTGAATATTTGTATGTCTAGATGGGATTGTAGTTTTTTAGGGTTTATTACATAATATTGACTTCATCCTTTGTGTAATGGTGGAATTTTGAGAGAAACAATGACACTCTAGTTTTTTGTGTGTTATTTGCCTGGACATTCATTCATCGATTTGGAAATTGGACCATTTATGGCCACAATTACCTTTTTGGTCCTTCTGATTCCTGGGTGATACAGCATTATAACATTTTCATCTGTAGCATGTTATCTTTTTTCTTTTTATGTGAATTTTTTCATGTGGTTTTTGATCAGAGCTGTTAATAAGTAGAAGTGAAGGTAGAGCTGGTGAGGAACGATGACCGGGCAGAAAGGAAAAACAAGTGTTCCCACAAACATCTGTTGAGTATTGTTTGCAATGTGCTCAGTTTATTTAAATATCTCAGTTTTTAAGATGCATCTAAATGTGTTGCTGATGTTTGTCATAGAATAAAAGGCTTTCGGCGACGCATGCAGAGGGGAGATGACCAATCAGTCCTAACCTTTAAGCTAATTCTGTAAAAGATTGGATTTCTAGTCACAGTTCGCTTGGTAGTACCTCGAGACAAACGCAATGCTTGTGGTCAAATAATGTAGGAAAAATTTTTATTCCCCAAGGGAAAATAAAGGTGGTTTTATTTTCATTTTGAATTAGAAGCTTGTTTACTTAAGAGCTTGGTTCTGTTAACAATTTTTGCTTAATTTTAAGGAACTGAAGCTGGAAAGAGAATAGATTTGGCTGACAGGTCAACAGTTGATTAATAATTGCAGACACCTAGCTAAAGTTACCTTTATTTCATCCAGCCCTGTAAGGTATTTTACTGAGTGACATTTTTAAGACCATGCCATACTTCCACTGAATTATAATGGGTTGTTTGGCGTTAACATGTTTGAGAATGATATTTATATAAAATGTCAAAGGATATTTATGGATATTAGAAATGCTTGCTTTTGGATGTAGAAATAGAGAAAGCACAGGTGTGGTACTTCTGGATGTTTTTCAGTTGCCACTTTTATTTGGAGATTGTGTTACACATTATTAAAGGGATTAAAACTAAAGGTATGAGTGAAGAAGCCCAGCGTCATCAAGTATTTTTTCTAGTGTTTATTTTCATCTTAATTTAAAGGGAGTTTTTATTGCCATGGAAAGAGATGCTGCTTTTTCTTTTTTCTTTTTTGATGTGTTGCTATTTCTGAAGATGGAGTTCATTTATTTTTTTAATGTAACTTTAACTACATAAGCCTCATTGATCTTATAAAAATAGGAGCTACACAGCAATTCTTCGTGATGTTTTAATTTCTGTGATTGTGTGCATCTGTAGATGAAGTTTGAGAGTGCAAAATGTTTTTCTGTGTGGGCTGAATATGTATATTTTAATTCAGAACTAAGCTGTTAAGAGAGACTTGGGTTTTCTTCTACTAGCCATTTTGATTAGACTTTCTTTTATGCCGACTTAAACGAATTGGCATCTTTTTTGAGTGTCATGCCTAAGTAAATTTCTCAGGAAAATGAGGACAATATTAAGAAAGCTGTAATTTTACTTTAATTCTGTGGACATTTTAAACTAGTGTTTTTCAATTATGTGGTATTAAGAGACAGCTAATAATTGTGACTAAAAGTAGTAAATAATTTAGGTCGTGAAAGTAATTTGTTCTAAAATTGAGCATGTTAGGGAAACATCACTCATTAAACTTCCTTTATGTATAACATATGATTTGTTGATTGATAGAACCTACTGCCTTTCCTTTCAGGATTATATTAGAGGACTAATAAAAATTTTTTTTTAAAGATTTTATCTATTTACTTTTAGAGAGAGGAGACATCAGAGTGTGAGAGATACATGGATTGGTTGCCTCCGGCATGCACCCAGCTGGGAACCTGGCCCCCAGTCTGGCTTGTGCCCTGACTGGGAATCGAACCAGCTACTTTTTGGTTCACAGGCTGGCACTCAGTCCACTGAGCTGCACCTGCCAGGGCAAAAGACTAATTTCTTTTAAGATTAGTTAAATTCCTAATGTAGGTTCTAATTTCCTAGAAACTTTTTACTTGTGTTGTTAGTAGCAGTTAGGGATCATTGCTCAGAATGGTAGATTACCAAAAAGAATTACCTTTGATAATGTTTGGTATTGACGGTTGAGTCAGTGTGGGTGGTAAGGCATCTGAGAGGGAAAGAGTGAGAAGAGCTAAATAGTGGCCTTTTTTTTTAGATTTGATTTACTTATTTTTAGAGAGAGAGGAAGGAAAGGAGAAAGAGAGGGAGAGACACATCAATGTGTGGTTGCCTCTCGAGTGCCTCCTACTGGGGACCTGACCGGCACCCAGGCTTATGCCCTGACTAGGAATTAAACCAGTGATCCTTTGAGACAGTAGTCTTAAACCTCTTAAACACTTTGGAGGTCAGTCTTCACATCTTTAAATTAGGCTAGCTGAGAAAGACAACCTCTAAATTCTGTCCCATTGTTAAATTTCTTTGAATTTTACACTGTTCCGAGGATTTACAATAATCTACAAAATAATGAACTCACAGTGCCAAGAAGAGATGATGTGAGAAATGGGGAAAGCTACTTGGCTTTTCTATCTTACTTCACTATTCTAGTCTCACTCTTTAAGCTTTGACAGATAACCACAGAGAAGTATGAAGGATGTAGGCCTGAGTTGGGTGTGCTTTCTTCCTGGTGCTGCAGTTTCTGCTTGGTGTGCCTGCCCTCCCTGCAGGGCTGCAGGGAGCAGTTAATAGTGCGAGTGTCAACACAGGACTCGGTTAGAGTGAGAGTTGTACAGATTCAAGCTGGATAATCAGCTTAGGTCATATACTCTTTCTAATCGGTTTTTCATAAAAGTATACAGTTAGATAACAGAATATATAATATAGAGAATGTATTTAACTTTAAACCCACTTGGCCCCAAAATGTTAATATTTGAAAATTAATGATTTTCAATATAAATATTTAATACTTTAATTTTTTTCTGAGAAAAGTCGTTTTTCCGTGTACCTTAAGGTAGCCAGCCTCTAAAATATTTTATTATGTGTGTGTGTGTGTAAATATATGTGCACAGAGTTGGAATTTGATTATTGAGTTTCTGTATTGCTTTTACAACTTAATTCATGCTGTTTATCTTTAGCAATAATTGTCAGTGAGTTTTATAACTTATAAAGTATAGCTTTAAATGTGCAAATGCCCTAGCTCATAAAGTACGGAAAATAATCTTATATATTTAAAAGTTACAAAGCTCTCTGCTTACTCTATGAAGGATACCACTTAATGGCTCCGTAATGACAGGTCATGGCCGCTTAAAGTGGATGTGTCATTGACTGTTCCTTTGTGCTTCAAAGCTTTGAGATGGTTAACGTGAGGTGCCAAGGAAACCTTACAGCAGTGTTCTCTGAGCAGTGAGAAACTTTGCCCTGATTATTTAAAGGTCATTGTTTTATGTGGCAGGCGGGGAGATGAAAAAAAGTCATTGCAGGATAATAAAATAGTATGTAAATTTTGAGGTTGTATTTTCCTATTGCTTTTTCCTTGACTTAAGATATTCTTAGTTCCGAAAATTGCAGTGTTTGATTTTGACTAAGGAAGTTTTATTTCAGTATCTGCGATAGCTGGATCTAAACGTGTGTTGAGAATTTCAAACTAACTTGCAGTGAGGGGAATTCTTACATGAAGTAGCTATTTAAGGATATAAGAGGGAGAAAAAAATGTTTCTTCGTAGATTATTACAATACAGAATAAGGAGTGAAGGTGGGGACTATGACATAATTGCCACAAGAATGTTAGACTATATTACTATGTATTTGATACTTAAAATTTGTTTGGTATACCTGGTCGTAGTATAATATTATAGTTGGATTTTGATTACCCAAGCAATAACTATATACTGCTCAGAACAATTCATGGATGTTGTATTTCTTTTTCACGTTCGTAACAGAGTTCGAACTGTAATATGTAATTATTACTTGTGTAAAGCACTTTCTCTAATTCAGTAGGCAAAGCACAGCTAGGAATAACAACCTTCAAGGAGTCTGCAGTAAAGACATGCATTAAAAGATGGAGATGGGTGTGGGAAACATGGACTTACTTAGTGTGAGGCATTTCAGCATAGCAATAATTTAATCTTCACAGTAGCCTTGTGTTATCTTTGTCTTTCTCAGATGATGAAACTGAAACTTAAAGAGGTTAAGAACCTACTTTAGGCCATATACCTTCACTGCTAGTCACTGCCGTTCAAATTCAGGGCTCTGGGCTAAAACCCTTCTATGCCTAAAAATACAGGGCAGTATTAGTAGGTTTTCTAATACGTATCCCTCCATAAGTTGGTTGCTTGGGACTAAAGGTATTCTTTCATAGAAACAAGTGCAGAGGTTAAGTTAGTAGGTCAGCCTGCAAACAAAAGCTTATTCAACCTAAAAACTTGTTGACTAGTGTTCTATATTGACAGCATCTTAGAATTTGGTCATTTCTTTTCATCTTTTGAATACTTGCGAGTCCCTTGTAAATGCCAGGCACTATTCTAGGGGCTTAGAAATGATCAGGTGACCACTGTACAGGGACCCTGCCTTCCTGGAGCTTGCAGTCTAGTAGGAGGAAGACATTAAAACAAACAAATGGAAAAAAACCATGTGATTTTAAAATGCCATTTTTATAAAGGGAAAGAAGAATGTCCTGTGAGAGATTAGGAAAGTTTACCATAAGTAACTGTTTCAATAATAAAATGCATTTAGACTTTCAAGATCGGGATACCAGGACTTCCGCCATACTGCATGTTATTGTGGAATCCCACTGTCCGTCTTTGTAGCCCCGGGACCACTGCTCAAGACCAGGCCTGCCCAGTGTCCTCTCTTTGGAATTCCCACATGCAGCTTAATGCCTAGCATCCAGTTACCCTCTGGGGAAGCCGAGTCCATGATGAGGAAGGAATTAACTGGGAT